GGATGGGGCCAGGGGATGACGAACGGGGGGGTTGAATAGGCGTGGGGTCCCGGGGGGCCTGTCAGGGAGTGGGGGTGTGGATAAGGGTTGGGGCAGTCAGGGGACTGGGAGCAGAGGGGTTGGATAGGGGGTGAGGTCCCAGTGGGCGGTTAGGGGAGGGGGGTCCTGAGAGAGGGCGGTTAGGCGACAAGGAGCAGGGGGGGGTTGGTTGGGTCGGGGGTTCTGAGAGGGGCAGTCAGGGGGCGGGAAGTGGGAGGGTCAGATGGGGGTAGGGGCCAGGCTGTTTGGGGAGGCACAGCCTTCCCGGCCCTCCATACGGTTTTGCAACCTCAATGTGGCCCTCAGGCCAAAAAGTTTGCTCACCTCTGATATAAGGACTATCAAAGATAAGACACTTCAGTTTCTCTATTTTTAAATCCTGTCAGAGAATAACTTACTGGTGGCAATGGAATTCCATGACATGACAAATTTAAATGTATATATTTCTTTGCTCTAACTCTATGCCTGCGCGCGCAAAAAAAAAAAAAAGTCAAGGTGTCAAATACCCATAAGCTTTTATTGTTCAAGAAGGACAATAGAACACTTAAGGTAATGAAGTGCAACTTGCATATTTCTTCTTTTTTTAAATTAAGCCTTTATACGATTGGAGGGAAAGTATAGTTATTGTGCCCTTCAGTAGCCTATTTCTTTTGCGAACAATGAATCTATCCAAACAATGGTCCTCCGGAAAACTTACGTAAAAATATTCAATAGCTCTCTAGAATCCAAATGCAAGTGCACTATACAGCTGCATTAAAAATTGGGAAGCATTTAGAAACTGTTCAAAATATTGTATGTAATCTAAGGTGATCTAAAATTGAGAAAAGGGATACTGCAGTTTCCTACATGTATGTTTTCTATCGTGGAAGTCTCGTCTTAATATTACTACACAAACATTTTATATTTGTGATTGTGCTCTTAAACTCTGATAAAGTTTATTCGGTGTTCTAAAGTTAATTACCAGGAGCATTGTATTGAGCTGCAGGCTTTTAGATATTTTAAAGCACTGGCAATTCTATCCCATTTTAATTTTATATACATTTTATTTATATTTTTCATTATATAAACTAAACTGGCTTTGCAAAGTACAAGTAATATCAAACGGGTGATCTTTTTGAGTAAGCTCACATCTCAATGAATTGTTCTTCATGCAGTCTATTCCAGCGCATTTGGAGCTGATTGTGTAAAGTGCTGAATATCTTCTACTTTCATAGAAGTCAACTGCACTTAGCACCACACAGGATCAGGCCTGTGGCACCCCAAAATTTTACCTCATTTTCTGAAGGGTCAACATCACATACACAATCTTTACAGTTAAGCAGGGCTGTGTCTCACTGTAGAGCTTATTTACATCATTTAATCAAATCTCAGGGTTATAAGCCATGAGAAGAACTTGCTACACCCCACCCTGAAAGGCTAGAGCTTCTTTGACAGCCCATCTGAAGAAACTTCAAACTCAAATCTAACCTACGTCTCGTATGGCACATTGTATAGCACTATTACTAGGTCATTAGGAAGGCTCAAGTTGTCTTTGTCTACACTATGAGCTGGGGTCTGTGATTTCCTTGCTTGTGTACACATTAGCATTTGCTTTCATCAACCTAGCATGAATGTAAATAGCAGCGTAGCTGTGGTTGTATGGGTAGCAGTAGTGAAGGCAGGGCTGAGCTGTGATGAGTGCATACTCACAGGTTTCAGGTGGGTTTGTACTCAGTTTAGCTTAATTCACTAAGAGAACTAAACTAAACCATATTAAGGCTACTTTAATTCTGAATAATAGTATCCACACAGGGATTTAATGCAGCTTAACAAAGCCACTTCAAATTCACACCGTTCGTTAATTTGGATTCACTTTCCAGGATGTTCCCATGTAGACAAGCACTTAGTACTGTAGTTGAAGGCACATTCAACATTTCGCTGTACATGATTACTTCCATTTTCCTTAGTCAGAAGGGTCTAATTGCAGTCAACACAGAGAATCATGGAAGCTAGCTGTGGTGAAGTTTTATGCTATTGCTCTACTACTGCTATGGAGCTACCAGTGCAGAAATTCTGCTTCTAGCATAGCCTTCGGTATGGAACAAATTGAACTGAATTTGATTTGTGACTTTTTTTGTGTACCAAAGGAATTGTTAACATCGTTGCCCAGATATTCGCCTGCATGATTCATTGTGTATAAACTGTTCAGTCAATCCCTTGCATTTTTTCCTCTATAGAGGAAATATTTTGCATGTGTTTTTTCCCCCGAACACTTAAAATATTGTATATAATAATGAGTGTTATGTGTGTATGATGGTGTAACCCACACACCTACTGGGTGTAGTGTTCTGTCTCATCTAGTGGCACTGAGACCACCTAGAGAGAGAGATTAATGAGTCTGCTCTACAGCCTTAGTTAACAGCCACAGGCTTTTGGTTCATGCACTAAGCTCCAGAGGTCCCAGGTTCGATCCCACCCACTGACAACCGGGGTCTGTCAACGTTACAATGGCATCTAGGAGCTGGGATTTTTCAATGTCTTTTTTTTTTTTTCATTTTAAAACCTTCATCTCTTTGTGTTAGTATTTTGAAAGAAATAAAATTAAGCAGTTTAACATATGTTGCCCAACAGTCTTGTCTTGCATCAGAGTTTAATTTCCAAAGATGACAACTATACTACTTTTAGAACAAAGTATCAGAAACGCCATTAAATGTATACAGTTTGGTCAAGAAGTGGGGCTGGCCACCAATCTAGTAGTTGTGCAGTGTATTTATGCCAGGGGCTGAGAGCATTGAAGAGACAGAATACACACCTCTTGGAGGGATGTATTGCCTCTTATTGATTTCTAGCAATGTCTCTCTTCTCTGGCAAATACGCAGGTCAGTATTTAAAGGCTCTAGAAGTCCAGCATTTTCAGGCAGGAAGTTCACAATGCAGAATCTTTGAGAGATGAGTGTGGAGGAAGTGAGCCTCAATGATTCTTCCAAGAAAGGCTGAAATTTACACAGTAACAGAATTCATGGTTTCCCCACCCAGCACTCTCCCCACATTACTAGTTCATTATGTTCTTGTATATTATTATAATGGCTGATTGAAGCAGTGGATTGTATTCACAGAAGTGGATGTATTGTTCTTGGAGTATATCATAAATTGAAATACATGATAGAGTGAAAACAGTTTTTATCAAATATATACATACATTCAGACCTAGATAATTTGGAAGTGTTTGAAACATATGCTTTCTGAATAGCAGAGTCCAATGTCATTAGTAGCTTGTAGAACATTCAATACTTGATTTTCATCCAGCGCAAGAAGGAATTTATGAAATTCTGACCCCATCTTGAATATCATTTTGGTGAGGGGAAACCTTGCACAAATTGTATAATTTATTATTTATATTTTGATATTACCTAGAAATCTCAACCAGGTTGGGGTCCCATTGAGCTAAGCTCTGTATACATTCATAATAAATAAGTCAGTATCTGTTTCAAAGAACACACAAAATGTAACACCTCAGTTCTGAATTTTGAACAACTCTAGGATTGGGTCAGGAGAGAATCTTTAAGATCAGCACAGATGAAAGTAAAGGGAGCAGACTATTTCTCCATTTACAGAAAGAAGATTTGCTCTTTAGTCTCTCCTTCCTTACTTCCCCCAATTTATGATAATGAAAATCTATCTTCCAGAAACCTTATTTAAGCCTTCCTTAACACTTTCCTCTAGCTAATCCAGAGAGAATACCATGTCAAGTAATGCTTGGCCTGTCCTGCCTTTTGGTATATCTGTAAATCGCAAGACACTGTCATGTTCCTACAAGTGTTCATGTTATCCCCCTATACGTACACTTTATTAGATTTTTCACACTTCATATAGTAATCTGTAATAGACATGTATTAACATTCTAATAGAGAGTTACACACGTTCCCCACCTCAGGTGAAATTTTTAAAGTACATTGCAGTGGCGGAAAAAATGAAATAATGTGGTTTTTGGGGAGTACTTTGGGGTTGCTCTTTCCCAGTACTTTTCAAGTTCAAACTGTTTTTTCTGGGAAAGGTCACATGAAGCAAGTGCATAATATTTTCCAGTGTGTCCATTAATCCCAATTCCAGTTCCTGTAAACGTTTACAGGATGTTCAAACCTGTCTAGCCTCATCTTTGCAGTGAAAGTTGATCATTGGGAAAACCAGGTTTAGTTGAACCAGAACCTTTTTGAACTTTACCGGCCTATGAATGCATTTTGAATCAAAGTTGGAAGAATTATCACAACTGTACCTCATGCATCAGTTCAATAAGTCATGGAATAGCAGAGTCTCACTGGTTATGCTTTTGCATTTTTTTAAATCTGTGCGCTGTCTAAAAGAACTGGTTTGAATTTTCATATTTCATTACTACTTATTTCATTTAATACTTTTGATGCTCTGTCTGCCAGAAGACATTTAATGACCTTTGGTTCTTTATTAATATACTGTACACAGAAAAAGGCTCTAAGGAATTGAATTACCTGAATATTATTTAATGTTTAATTGTAGCAAATTGTTTGTGGTAGACTTGATCAGAATTGAGCACTTAATTGTCTTGTATTATACTGAATTTCTACTAACTGTGTGTCTCATGAGATTTGCATTTCTTTTCAACCACTGTAGCTATGAAGAAGAAAAGATAACAAAAATATTGTTTTAGTGCATTAAAATGAGCTTCTTCTGCCTCCCTCTTATTGCGACTATTTTGTCACTATTGTTCCTTTATCTTATTTAGCCTCTTCATTGTTGGTTGTTGGGACTTCCTGAAGCGCATTCTCTTGCAAACAAGTCCAGCTAGCACCAGAGGGTTGATTATTTGCTTTCCTTCCTATGCTTAATCATCCATTTTCCATAAACATAAATGATAGGTTTCATAGGCATCTCCCTTTCCATCTCTCTAGCCTACTCTTCATCTATTAAGTAAATAATTTCAACACTGTAGAACTGCACCAAAGCAAAATTTTAATGTACCTATTTTAGGTAGGGGTGTTCTGCCTCCCCAGTGTGGCCCCTCAAATTTATTTCATACTTTTAAAGTTCAGATGAAGGTTACTTGCCAACAGTAAGTTCTTCGAGAGGAACCATAGTATAATCCAAATACTGGGAGATATAGTGGTGGTCCAGTTGCACCACCAGTTTCTCTCTCAATAAGGGGGATATACAGAAGAAAAAACTCAGATAACTTAATGTTTTACCTACCTTGTGTACAGAGCCCTCTACTCCCACAAGAAAGCTTCATGGTCTGGACATACACTTGTAATCCAGAAATCTAAAATGCAGCTGTTTACCTACTTCATATAGCTGTGTGCCACCTTGTCCTGTTACAAGATCTCCATTGCTCACTGGATAAAGATTTTGATCCAACAGTGCCTATAAGACTTGTCCAAAGTGTGTCAACCTCAAGGGCTTGCAGGTCTGAGCTATCTGCCTCATCAGTTGGTAAATTAGCCACCTGCTCTTTTTCCTTCACACATTCACCACCACCATCAGTTGGAAGCCATCATAGATACCAAGTTGTAATTTGGAAGTGCAGTCATCCAAACTCCACTGTTGTAAGCCTTTCTTTAGAGTTTCCACTTGTTGTTATGTCTGCTGCTTACTCAGAGATGTTGGTGTGTAGGATGGGAAGAGAGGGGCACAGGACAGGGGAGATTATTCTAAGAGTTGTAGAACTAGAATTATTCTAGTTTCTCTCTTTTTCTGTCCTGCCTCCACTTAGTGTGTCATTTGAAATAGGCTGTATATACTTGTACTACTCTTTTGTGCTTTGGAAGGGGAGGACTTAAGCCAGGAACTTTAACACTAATAGTCATACTGTTGCCAGGTAATATGGGAGACTGCAACAACCTGGATTATGCATTTGAAAATCTCCTAATTAGCATAAACTTTTAGATTGCTGATGAAGCAAAGTGAAGTTAGGCCAAAAAGTTAAACTTTTGGATAGCGGTTTTCATTTTAATTCAATATATGATTAATTCATGCTTCATGCAAGGGTGTGCAAGGAATATGAATTTTTAGTTTCAATAAGTATCAGTTAAAAATTCCTGAGAATTAACAGCTATTTGGGCATACCTTTGTTTCTGTTTGATACAAAAATGTGAACAGGGAAATGTATTGCATTCAGAACTTGCAATTGGCTTTGTCAAGTTGCTGTTATAAAGCCTTATTTGGTAAAATACAGCTTTTCTTGGTCTTTAGCTCTTCTTTCAGTACTGTAATATATAATAATCTTTCATGTGCTGGATGTTTCATTTGGTATTCCAGATTCCTACAGTTGTAACAGATAAGCTTTAAATGGTGAAAAGTAGCACAGATACTACTGAATCTGATTTAGATTACTAGTTTTCATACATCTCAACAATGAAGTCAAAAATAGTTGGGGGAGAAGGGTAAGAGAGGACATAGACAATAACAGTCATACAGTAATTTTATGTGCATGTTTGTTTTTGTTTTGTTTTAAATCTAGATCAAAGAAAGCAAAGAATTCAATAGATAAATCAACAGAGACTGATAATGGCTATGTCTCCCTTGATGGGAAAAAGACAGGTAAAAGCAGTGAAGATGGAGTACAGACCCATGAGCCTCACTGTGAAGTGATTAGGCCAGAAGAGGGAGGTTGGAGCACAGGAACTGTGAGAAACACATACAACAATCATAGTCCTCACAAAGTAAGCATGGTTCATTGTTTCGTAACTAACAGTAGTGTGTCCAATTATATGAACACCGTATTGCCACAGCAGTTTGGATAGGTTCCCATTTATATCTTGACCCTGTGTTTTTTAAACTTTAAAAAAAATTAATAGGGCTCGTGTTAGGATACTAAGGGCCTAAGTGCAAGATCTAGTTCTGGGTTTCTTGCTCTTAAATTTTTCCTTATATTTTCTCTTCACTGTCCCATCAATATTTTCTTCCTTCAAGAAGAAATCTCCACCAAAATCTCAGGGCAATATTTTAATAAAAAGAAATAAAAGAAAAAATATCTGCAGGTAGACAAAATGCACTGCAAGCAACTGAATTTTGCATAAAAGACTTGAAACCTTTTTGTAGTGGTGTCTGGAGTCGCCCTTCCCTGGCAAAATGTGTTGGGAAATTACACACATATTGAACAACTTAGGCCATCCCAAAGGCAAAAATACTGCTTTTCAGAAATATTTTATTATATCTAAATTGTGCTAATTTATGCAAGTGCTACTTCATAACTATTTTGCCATAGACACAATGGGAGAACCCCAGTAACACTGGTCACCCAGGATTGGGCAAGTGCATATCTACGGCTCAATTCCTACCACAGGAACCTCATTTTACTGACTTTTAGGTTCTCTGATTTTCTTTAATTTGACTCACCATGTGTCCTTGTATTTCTTGTTTGTTTTAGCCTTCATGAGAAGGCTTTGCTTCTACCTCACCTGCCTCTGTTAGATTTTTCTCTGGAATGAGTCTGCTTCTCTGCTACAGTTGGACACATTTCACAGTAATGATGACTTCCAAAATTCAAACAACCCCCCATACTTTCAAAGGGTTTCCCCTGCCAATCATCCGTGTTCATGGATTCTCCTTCCCCTTCTCTTGTGGATAAGTGCAGAGATCTGCAAGTGTTTTCTTTCCTTCCCTTCCCCATGGAAGTGAAAAGGCACTCTGAAATGCAGAGCGTAGAGGGGATCGGAGAGAAGAAAGATAGTCAGAAAGCAGAGCATAATGAGGAGGAAGGATGTGTTGCTCAACATGGAGCTTGGCTGGTTAGGTCTGATAGCTCTCAGTTCTCCTATTTCATCTTACTTCATTCTCCTCCAAAACAACTCTACCATTATTGGTACATGAAGATTTGGAAGTGCAGCATTTAAAGAAAGCGAAGGGAAGCAAATGAGGAGCAGCCTATTATTCTACCTTCTAGAAGGTAATGATGGTGGTAAAACAGAAATTTTTTGCCTAAGGAAAGTTTGAGAGACACTGGCTTCATTCAATGAGAGACATTTTTAAAGGAGGGACCCGTTTTGGGGTCTTCCATAGATAGGATCCATAGAAAGTGCAACATATGCACTCTTTCTGTACACCTACTTCAGGTTTTGATACACTTGGGCAAGTGAGATTTAGAATATTTGTATACGGTAGTTTCATGCTTCTCCTTGATCATGTCCCTTGATGTGCATTGGCACACTTAATTTGTAATTACTGTAATTTATGATGCTTTCACTGATTTATCACTATCTGCTCTGGCATCATCATCGTCATTTACAGTATGTTGAAGATAAAATAAGACTTGTGAAAATGTTTCTGGAAAAAATCAGTTTCCTCAATGTGCTTTATATTGCTTTTCCTCAGTCAAATGGTGAGCACGTTTTTGAAGTTCCAAGCTCTCATAACACTTTTTATACATGCATAAACAGTTTTCTGGATAATTATAAATGTATCTAATCTTATTTGGAAAAACAAAGACCTCTCTAAATTTAGAATAAACTATGAAAAAAGTCTTGTTGAGGTAAATTAATTTCTATAGAAATATAAAAACTTCTTATGTGGCATTTCTCATTATACCTGTTAACATCAGAAAAAGGAGAAGTATTTTTCATTATTTATGAAAGAAATCAGAAAATGTTATTGACACACTTGTTGCTAAATCTTGCTAATTCAGCATTTTGAAGTCTGACTATTTTAAAAGCTTTTGTTGATTAAGGAGTCTTGATGTTTTGCTTCAAAGCAGAACTCTTGCAGCTAACAAGAAAAAAATTCAGAAAACAGGGTTTATGAACAAACAATTTTAAGAGCAGGTAATAGCCATTACTATAATTTTAATGAATGAGTTATCTGTTTAAATGAAGTTGCCTTTTATTCTTCTTCGAGTGCTTGCTCATATCCATTCCATTAGGTGTGTGCGCGCCGCGTGCACGATCGTCGGAAGATTTTTACCCTAGCAACACCGGCGGGTCGGCTGTGGAGCCCCCTAGAGTGGCGCCTTCATGGCGCTGAATATATACCCCAGCCGACCCGGAGCCCCCTCAGTTCCTTCTTACCGCCCCTGACGGTCGTTGGAACTGTGGAGCGCTGCTTAGCTGTTCTCCACTTTCCCTAGCTTAGTTAGTCATTCGCAGTTACAGTTATAGTTGTAGTTCTAGTGTTTATAGTTAAATAGTTAAAGAGTTTAAAGTTGTTAAGTTGTTATTGTAGTTTAGGGGATTAGGGGGGTCGTTTCCCCCCCTTTTCTCCCCCGACCGCGGGGCCGGGCTCATGCCCAACGCTCCCGGTTTCAAGCAGTGCGCCTCCTGCGCTAAGCCTATGCCCACGAGCGACCCGCACGACTCCTGTCTGAAGTGCCTGGGAGAGTCCCATCAAACAGATAAGTGCAAGATCTGTAAGGCCTTCAGACCAAGGACCAAGAAGGAGCGGGACTTTCGGCTCCGGCAACTCCTGATGGAGGCGGCACTTAGTCCGGACGCTCCATCCACAAGTCAGGCCCCGCCACCTAGCGCCTCGGTGCGCAGTGCCCCGGCGGCACCGGCTATGACGACCACGCGAGTGGCGTCGGATAAGCCTCCCCGGCACCGAACCTCGTCGGCACCGCAAGTACAGCAAGTGCCTCGGCGCCGGTCATTATCCCCGGGGCATAAAAAA